GCAATACCTCACTTCTTGATCAACTCGATTCCCTTATTCTGCTAGCCAGAAAGGAATTCTCTGAGAACGGCGTAAGTGCTACAGTTAATCTATCTGACCTAGTTAGCGCTCTCCTTCTTTCCGAAGAACAAACCACTGCTCTATCAGGCGCTGCCGAAGATGAAAAACGTTTATATCAAGTTGTGTTGGGCGTTCATCTTGCGTTGACTAACTCTACTGGCCAGTTGGTAGACATCGCCTCCCGTGTTCGCTCCAACACATTAGCCACCCATGCTTGGTTTTATGTTGATTTTCTAGCCCGTGCTGCCTCTACTCTGCTCAAACGATCACCTCGACTGGCGGGTGCCACGGCTCTTTGGGGCTGGGAGCCGGACGCAGCGGGTTCGGGAATGCGACAGACAGAAGAGCTGAGCCAACTGCTAGTCTCGGAAATCTATATTGCTGGAATGGCTAGCTTTATCAAACTTTGTCGACAGTGGCTGGCTCGCTGGAATTTGATCAACCCTAGGCAGCAACCAGTTGGTGAAAGGAATCGCGATGAGCGTTTTTCTGATCCCTTGTCTCAACAGCCCTCAGAAATCTTGGATGAATTATTTTTTGGGCCTCTTATGGAGCGCCTGGCTCTGGCTAGCGAGGCTGCATTTGCTACTGGTCGCATATTTTGTTGCTTAGTCGAAGACACTGGCCTCTCAATCCATCGTCTTCTTTTAGAAGAACGTAGTCGGCATCAGCAACAGGCTGCCTCGGTTTCTACATCAACTGTAGGCCACTCTTCAACCGCAGTCAGTCTGTCCGCAGCCCATCTCGCCGAGACGGCCTCACTACAGTTAGCTAGGGCGCATGTCCAGACTCCAGTGGCTCCACTTCACTCAGCCGCAGCCCGTTTGATCGACCGTCTTATTGCACGAGCTGTCCAGTTCACTGGAGCGGCTGCAAGCCAACGACGCATCTGCTTATTGCGAGTTACAGTGCGTTTGGTTTATCAAGCTCAACGTATTTTGTCCTGGACACATCGACCAAGCCGTACATTACCCCCGCTAGCCAAAAATGATCCGCAGCTTGTCGAAGTGGATGGCTTTTTCACTGACTCTTCTATTGAACTGCATCATTTGGAGATGCCTCAAAACTTGGCTGCCATTCTGGATCAACTTCAAGCGGCTTCTGAGGCTGTCCACAAACTCCTCAATACTCGAATGACCGATGCGGTAGGTAAAATAACAGATGTTAAACGGCTGGTACAAGTGACTGACACGATTTATCGACTGGAGCGAATGCGAATTAGGTATTTACTGTCGTTGCGATCAGCTGTACTTTTATTATTTTCACTTATTTACCTTATACCTATTGTACATAGTCACAATAATTTTTGTTTTCTGCAGAACGCCTAGTAGTACACCTTATTAGAGAATTATAAGTTAAATGAGTGCCCGGCCATTGCATTTTTTTTAAATTTCCTTATTTCTATTGTGCCTAAATAGGCAGTCTTGGTTATTCATACAGGATTCTTCTAAGAGCTATATGAAATTACTTATGGACATTAATTGCTTGTCTGATCGAGGGCGGGCGAAATTTGTGTGCGCCTTACAAGTGATTAACCTTATTGTTTATATCGTGGTCTTTACACGGGAAATCCTTTGGCTAAAGTATTAAGCTCGTCGATGTGACCATTGTTTTTGCCATAAGTTTGATTGCAGTTCAACTTGACTTCATCCTTGTTACTTAGTTATGGTGACAAGGCGTATATACTCAGTTTTGAATCCTTTGCCATAGTAATAATATTAATTTCCTGCACCGGACAGTTTGACTTGGTTCATGACCAAACTTTCTGCCGGCATCGGTAGTAGGATGCATCTCTCTTAGCACCGACTTACAACTCGACAATGACAGATAAGGTCATTCCTATGTATC